CGCCGACCTGGCACCTTCCTCCTCCTCTTCCTCCTCTGCGGTGCCGGCGGCTTCCGAGGGCTCCGCTGCGCCGTCCTCCTCCGGGACGGGCGATCCGGGCGCTGCCGGGCACGGAGCCGGCGGCGCCTCCGTCCCCTCCACCAGCTCCAAGGGCACAGGGGGCTCCTGGGGGTGACACGTCCCCAGCCCTGCTGGGACCTCTGCTGGCACCGCGGCCTCCTCAGGCATCGCGATGTCCTCAGCCATCGGAGCATCCTTTGGAGTCACAACATCTCCAGGTGCCACAGCATCCTCCAGTGTCACATCCTCGGGTGTCGCAATGTCCTCCGGTATCATGGTGTCCTTTGGTGTCACAGCATCCTCCAGTGTCACATCCTCGGGTGTCGCAATGTCCTCTGGTATCGTGGTCTCCTTTGGTGTCACATCTCCGGGTTTCACAGCATCCCCTGGTGTCACATCCTCAGGTGTCACAATGTCCTCTGGTATCGTGGTCTCCTTTGGTGTCACGACATCTCCAGGTGTCTCATCCCCAGGTGTCGTGACGTCCTCAGCTACCATGGTGTCCTTTGGAGTCACAACATCGCTGGGTGTTGCAGCATCCTCTGGCATCACATCCCCGGGTGTCACAATGTCCTCGGGTATCATGGTGTCCTTTGGTGTCACAACATGCCCGGGTGTCACAGCATCCTCTGGTGTCATGATGTCCTTGGGTATCGTGGTGTCCTTTGGTGTCACAGCACCCTCAGGTGTCACAGCATGCTCTGGTGTCACATCCCTGGGTGTCACCATGTCCTCAGGCATCACGGCATCCTCAGGTGTCAGGACATCCCCAGGAGCCACAATGTCCTCAGACATCACGGTGTCCTCTGGTGTCACAGCATGCCCAGGTGTCACGATGTCCCCAGGCATCACGGCATCCTCGGGTGTCACGACATCCCTGGACATCACAGTGTCCTCTAACCCCATGACATGTCCAGGTGTCACGATGTCCCCAGGCATCACAGCATCCTCGGGTGTCACGATGTCCTTGGACGTCACAGCATCATCCAGTGCTCTGGTGGCCTTGGCTGTCACAGCACCCTGTGATTCTTCAGCCTCCTCCACCTCCTCTTCCTCAGAGGGGCAGACAAGGAGGCACTCGGTGGCCAGCTCCACGGTGGCATCTTCAGAGGGGACGTGGACAGGGCTGCCCTGCACCAGGCCAGCGTCGCGCTCTTCCTCCTCTTGCCACTGCTCCTCCTCCTCCTCTGGGGCTGCCAATGCTGGCTCAGCTCCATCTCTCTGCTCCAAGGGCTCTTCCTCGCCAAGGTCTTCCTCACACGGAATCCTGGGGCTGAGGAGCAATGGAGGAGCCACCTTCTCCTCCTCTTCCTCGCCTGGTGTCCCAGGGCTGCAGGGTGATGGAGGCGCCACCTTCTCCTCCTCTTCCTCACCTGGCATCCCAGGCCTGATGGGTGATGGAGGTGCCACTGCTACCTTCTCCTCTTCTTCCTCACTCAGTGCCTTGAGACCATGGGGTGATGGAGGTGCCACTGTCACCTTCTCTTCCTCACTTAACGTACTAGGACCATGGGGTGATGAAGGTGCCACTGCCACCTTCTCCTCTTCTTCCTCACTTGACATACTGGGATCATGGGGTGATGGAGGTGCCACCTCCTCCTCTTCCTCACTTGGTGCCCTGAGACTGTGGGGTGACAGAGGTGCCGCTGCCACCTCTTCTTCCTCACTTGACATACTAGAACTGTGGGGTGATGGAGGTGCCACTGCCACCTTCTCCTCCTCTTCCTCACCTGGCATCTCAGGGCCACAGGGTGATGGAGGTGCCGCCACCTCCTCTTCCTCGCCCAGGGCCCTAGGAGCGCAGGGTGATGGAGACGCTGCTGCTTCATCCTCCTCTTCCTCAGCCCGTGCTCCGGGGCTGAGGAGTGATGGAGGTGTCACCTCCTGCTCTTCCTCGCTCAGTGCCCCAGAGCTGGGGGATGATGGAGGTGCCGCATCCTCCTCTTCCTCACTCAGCGTCCTGGGGCTGCAGGACAATGAAGGCGCCGCTGCTGCATCCTCCTCCTCCTCGGCCAGTGTCCTGCCACCCAGGGGTGGTGATGAAGGCACCTCCTCTTCTTCCTCTTCCTCAGCCAGTGCCCTGCTACCCAGAGGCGGTGATGAAGGCAGCCCCTCCTCTTCTTCCTCTGCCAGTGTCCTGCCACCCAGGGGCGACAAAGGTGGCACCTCCTCTTCTTCCTCCTCCGCCAGTGTCCTGCCACCCAGGGGCAATGATGAAGGCGGCACCTCCTCTTCTTCCTCAGTCAGTGCCCTGCTACCCAGGGGCAATGATGAAGGCGGCACCTCCTCTTCTTCCTCTTCCTCCGCCAGTGTCCTGCTACCCAGGGGTGATGATGAAGGCAGCACCTCCTCTTCTTCCTCACCCAGAGCCTTAGGGCTGCAGAGCGACAGAGGTGCTGCCACCTCCTCCCTCAGTGTCCCGGGGCCACGTGGAGATGAAGGCACCTCCTCCTCCTCCGGGGTCCCAGGGC